CCCTTGAGTGCTAACGACTAACCCGACGAGTGTTTTTGCCTAAGCTGCTTGATTGTTTATGCAATGGACTTAACGCTTCCTTATGCTCATTCTCCGTCAGATGGGGCCTCGCCATTTGTTAGCGTTCGAGCGTCCACCTCTTGTCTGGGCAATGCCTGCTGGATCGTGGCCCCGCTGCTCCGGTGAGAAATATCTCTGAAGAATAGTTAACTTTTGTTTTCGATCCATTTTTAGCGGGAACAGGAGAAAAATCAAAAGTTAAAAAAATGAAAAATTTTCTCTTTACAGTTGCATGATGACGAAAGCTTTTTGGAGTAAAAATTTTCTTTGGTGTTTTTTTTTCAAGTTTGTTAGAACCATACGAGTCCACCCTATCCCTAAAACCTTTCTTCCTCGAACTAAAATGGAACTCGCTTTCTTTGGCGCTTTCCTCTTCAAATGGAATTTGTCTTTTGGCCTCAAATCGAAGCGCCGCCGTCTGTCGTTTTTAGGACTCGACTGAGAATTTATTCATGAAGCTCTTGCTGTCCATAAACGTCATGCGCGAACCAAGATGCGAATCGAGCTTTGTATAAGCGTTCCTGCTGCTAAACAAGCTTCTTCCCAAATTCCTCATTTGAGCGCTGCGATGGAGATTTGGTTATGGTTAGGTAGATGGCTATCGAATCACTGAAGAAGCAAATGTTCTCTCTTGGGACCAATTTCTTCCCGTCGGAAATGAAAAGTTAGCAGTCACGATTCTTTTTGTCTACGTTACGAATTCGGCATCCATTAAGAATCTTAGTGATAATTTAATGGGCTGCTAACATGTACATTTGCGGGATTGGTTGGTGTTCGATTCAGTGCTTTTACCACTCCAGTGAGATAACAATGATGCTGAGAAACCGATCCCAGAGAATTGAAATACTTTGCTAATCTGACCGGAATTCGTACCAGTATTTGATCACCGCACTATAGGTAAGATACATCAACGCTCACCACTTCCCGGTCAGGGTACAACATCGTGCTAAAAAGGCTCCTGCTCCGACACATCTCCCCTTTTCCGCATCCTACCTATCATCTTCCCAAATTTGCCCTCTTCCCACCACTTTCCTCAATTTTCCCCCTCGAAAAAACTTCCATCTCGTAGTGGGGAAGGTCTTCATCAGAATTCAACTATTAGAATTCTCCGAGGCTTGGAAAATTTCGCACAAAGCTGAAGCTTTTCTCGAAGCCGAATGCAACCATCGGTGACCAAATACAACCCCCTACCCCTTCAACAACCAAAGGATGAAGCTTCCGCGTTGGTCGATCTCTTTTTGGAATATGCCACCATTATACTGCAACTTGGGGTCACAGTGATTTTTTGAATGCGATACGGTCTATAAAAAGAGTGATACCAGCCGACGTGCAGGACAGTGTTTTATCCATCCAGACGAGTCTTTACTAAGTTTGTGACCCAGTAGGATATAGGTTTCGGTTAGCTAGCGTAGTAACGTTCCACTTGCCACTTCTCATAACGTATGGGAGAGGAGAGAATCGGGCGCTTTTTGAGGCACTTTTCTGATTGTTGAACCCAGCCAGGAATAATTGAATCCTGTGAACTGTGAGTGTTACGATGCTTCTTGAGAGATCGTTCGTTGATCTTTTACGATTCTTCTTTTGGCATTGCAGAAGGAAGTCGCTCGGTTTATGAGCTTTCCATAAGCCAAACTGGGCATTCGTGATTAAATCTTTTTCTTAGGTTTACCTTGTTCAAAGGCTTATTTCCTGGAAAATGTTCGCGGAGGTGCTTTTTGAGTTCGAGGAGAGAGAGTTGTAATAAACTCGTTTTCAACACAGCCTTTCGGAAACTCGCTTGCGCTAACACCATTCCTCGATTCGCCTTTTAATCTTCTGCCGTTCCATATGTCCGCCTCATAGGAGACCAATCACCACGGCCACGGGTATTCCCTCAAATTATCACTTCAAAACAAATATATCTTATTTGAAACAAATGTTTTCGGGCTTTGGCCTTGATTGAGAGTTCTTTGTGGTTCAGCTAACACTCGACGTAACTCGCCAAATCTTTTCGCTTTGGAGAAAGCTCGCACGGCACATTTTCACTTGCCGTCGTACAAGTTCACCCATGAAGACCCACGACCGATCGTCTCTGACTGTCGGCCGGGTACTCAAGGCTCGTCCAGTTGTGGTATTCGATGCCTGCGATGTGGTCTTCGTCGAAAAGACCCCTCATGGACGGAAATTGATGACTTAGTCAATTCGCTCAACCCGAAGCAAGACCGATCATCGGACTCTCAACGCAACATCCAATCCAAAGTTGGTGAGTTCTTTTTTCAGCCCAGGATGCAGTAACCTTTCCCATATTGCGTGTTTTGGGAGAATATCAAAGCGCTTTTTACTACAATGTACAGCCACACTCAGCAGTTGCAAGTCGTGAGTAGTGAGGCCCAACTAGGAATCTGTAGGTACTTATGAACTTGCTACCAAAGAATAAAGCGAGTGACTCTGCTGAAAACGCTCTGAATAAGGCTCTCTTCTCTACAGCTGACAGTAGGTGTCGGACGATGAAGTGAGAAGTGAAAAGACACTGTGGGCGCGTGCGAGAGAGTAGAGATAAAGGCTGTGGGAGCAGAATGGCGAGAGAAACGACTTTTGGTCGTTACCTCTCTTATATAAAAGGTTCGAAACAAGGAATCGAAGTAGGCATATCGTGTATTGCCATAACTATTGATATCTGAGGAACCCACCTTACTGCTTCCTCAAAACTTCTTCCTGCGTCGCGCTAGCTTATCCTGCACGGCTGGCTCAGATAGTCCCTTCATCATCAAACCTTTCTGCTTTCACTCTTTGTCATCAACATTTCCAGCTCTTCGGTGTATCACTGAAAATTTGGACGACACAGCCCAAGAACTGTTCCAGTTCCTCCAACGACTTGAACAATTCTGGAATCGATCCAGCAGCTCACCTCAGCTCTCTGTTTGTGGTTCGACTAACATCTTTTTAACACGTGACAGCTTTTAACAATGTATTTTTGCCAGCAGCCTAACTTTAATTGTTTCTGATATTTTCTGAACATGATTATTTCTCTATCAGAATGCTCAGGCGAGGGAGTTTCCTCATCCGCAACGGCTGAGGACATCGCGAACTCAAGCGAATCTCGAAAGAGGAGCTTCTCTATCGCCAAAAAGCTGAACGACTAGCCGAAGAGCTCCAACAGCAGCGTAATCGACGTCATGGCTATGTGTAAGTTATTGGTACTTTTGCCACTCCGAATGTTACACGTTCTGTGCACCCCCCCCCCCTCTTTTTTTTAAGTTGTTTAGAGGCTCTCAAGTGGTAGCCATGACTGATCTTGCCTGTGAGCCGACCGGGAAACCTAATCATTCTCGTCGGTGTTAAATGATCTTTGTTCTTTTCGAAAGTTCGGAGTTCCGCTGCCTCTGAAATTGGCTCAAAAGTGAAGGAAGACTGGTCGAAAAGGAAATAACTTATCGATTAGAAAGGTCGTCCAGTCGCTATACCTTTCACGTAAGACCTTTACATACATCTCGGATCGGTTTCTCTGGAAAACCATACTCTCCAACCGTCCGTGTTTAGCAAAACGGCACCAAATTGCTGGGGGAGGGGGTGACGAAACCTTCCGTTCATGTAGACCAACTGAACCCGGCAACTTCATTTGATGATCAGCTAATGTTTAAATGGCGGCCCCACCAAACCAGAATTTCTGTGGGCGAATTCCCTAAACCAAAGTTTTGCCTGGATGTTCACTTCCTAAATGGGGGTCCACGTGAAAACTATCTGGCAAGTCATAAAATCACCAAACAAGGTTTATTAAAGGCAAAGCCCGCATCATTCGCCATCACAGATAGTGGATTAGGGGTATGCATATAGACAACAAGGATCTGAGTAAGCTCGATAGTGAAGAAAAAAAGCAGAAAAAAATTGTGCCAACTGCCCCAGATAGAACCCCATTGCCTTTTGTACCCACCCATTAACTCCATCTCCAACACTACGCCTCATCCGCACAGCTGATCCCCGATAAGAACTCTACGACCGTACAAGTGACGATTTTCATGCTTTTTCGTCCTGCAGCTTCGTTTTTCACTGAAAGGCGGGCCTTGGAGGCGGAGTCTACGGCGGGTCACTGGAGAGGAGGTGGCGTCACTATTTTGCATTATAGCGCCCCTCCCTTACAATTTTTGCCGCGAAACCGGTACAAGGTTGTTCGTCGCGGACCACACTACCCTCCCGACGCCATATTTTCAACTTCTATACCTGATCGCGGACCGTGCCTTTGGATTGGCTGAGTCCCACCCAGAAGCCACCACGATCCTGAACTGAATTAGAATGCTTGATGCGTTCCATAACCAAGACTGGTCAGCGGCAACGATTATCCTTTGTTTGGTCATATATCTTCAGAACTTTCTTTGGATAGCACAATAACAACGTCCGTAAAATGATTCTATCCAAAGACAATCCCTCGTCAAGACTGGTTTTCGGGAACGATTCGCGGTGACCTAAGTGGTCATCCGGGCACTTGATTAGCCGGCCAAAGGGTCGCGACGCGGCTGCAGCGCGTCACGATCGCGGCGATCAGCTGTTTCCAGCCTAATTTAGCAATTTTCTCCCTAGTTTTCACTGTATTTTCTCTTTTTTTCAAGGTCAGTTGCTTTATTGTCTATATGAAGTATATCGAGATATGGATTCTTTTTTGTTTTTGTAATGGAGTGTTTTTCGCGATTTTTTAGGTGTTT